CTCTCTGGAAAAAAATGTCTAGTTAAGGCAAATATAATATAAATTGGCCCATACTGAAAATAATTCTAATATAATATAGTACACCACTGAAATTCAGAATGTTGTATATAGAATTCAGTTTTATACTGTGATTATTATTTAATATAATAATAGTTTTAAAAATGTGATAAACGCGAAAATGGCACCACTGTTGTATTCTTATTTGAGTAATTTAATTAATAAATTATTTGAACTTTTCTCGTTGAACGGCTCATCAACACGCATACACACACACACACACACACACACACATCAAACACTTGCGTTTAAAACAAAAATCACTCAAATCGGTAGGATGGAACGTCAGACAAGGCTATCCAAAGAAATCGCCACACGTTTTAAATATAGGTACATGTAGATAATATTATATTGAGGCAGACTCAAAAACAAGTAGGTAATAAACATTTTTACAGGCTAAACATTAATCTTACAGCGGTGCTTTCGAATTTATAAATAAAATATATATATATAAAAAAAAACCTTCCCAATAATTATTATATTACTGAATAAAAACTTATACTTTTATTATTGCGTAATAAATAAATACAATTTACGAGATCTAGAAATTCCCTTTCTCAAACGTATAAGACAATAATGAGAAACAAATACTTTTAGAAAATGCGTTTTTTGAGCTTATTGAGGAAATATAGGCATGACGAGTGTCACATATTGAACACACATTGAAATCGGCGACTTTGTGTGATAATCCAGCTGAATATTCTGTAAAGCGATTGTTTTATTTGTGGGGAATGTACTATGCCATACGCATTTGTTCTACATGTACCATGGTTTTAACCATACATAATAAGTATTTATAACTTAAATTAACTCGAATTGCTTGTAATATTATTAAACATGTAAAGGGCACATAATACATTATAGTACTGATAATGTTTCGTTAAAAGTCGCAAAGGACCTGTTGTGATAAAAATTATATGATTATACGGTACTGTATCCGAAGCTTCAACAATTATAATATTAATATCTGACACACGTCATTGTGTTAACTAAACTGCACATCACTCATTTTCTATCATATTATATAAACGTTTGGATTTAAAGTATCACTGACCAATCCAATTTCATACCATCAACAGGTACATATTAATATTTGTGACTATCTTAACACACCATATTAGCTGTTATTATATTTTAATTTTCTTAATATTAAAACTTGGTATTCTTCTCTATTTTTTTTTATTTTAAAAATTAAATTTATCAACAACTATGATTATATTGTTTGGCAAGTGACCCAAAGAATTTCACTTAAGCACTACCATATTACACCTATTTTTAAAAATACTTTACACATACTATAATAATTGTTCAATACGTTTACTGTAATATCTATGAAGATTTCAGGTAATTTTTTATAATATTTTGTACAGTTATTAAAGTTATGAGAGAATTTTTTTTTAAGAAAAATCTTTGGTTCTTTTTTAGTTGATTAAACTATAAGTGGGGGAAAGTGCACCATATTTCCCGGGGTGGCACATATTTCCATTTAGTGGGGAGTAAATTTATAATGACATATTATTATTGTGTATTAATTGTATCAAAAAATAAATAAATTTATATTATTATATATTTTAATTATCTTAATAAGATTCTGTTAATACTTTAAAAGCTATTATTACAGTTCCAAAATATATGTTATTTTCATCAATATCATTATTGAGAACATTATAAATATTTACAAAAATATTTAAAGTCAACCAAGTCAAGTGTTTTGAGTTGGCATTATTGACAATTGAATCAGAAATAACATGTAGGTAAAGCAGATCTTGAAGAAATTATCACTTTATTTTCAAATCTCTGATCTAAGAGAAAGTTATAAAATGTATCTAGATTATAATAAATTATTAATAAAATTAAGATCAGACAAAATGCATTAGTACAAAATACATTTATTTTCAAGATATATTTTATTTTTAGTACCTGTGTGTTTACCAGAATGTAAAATACACTTGGGAATATCGAAAAAGATTCTGTGCAAGGACCCACTATATGAAGGAAAAGAAGAATAAGAAGTAATTGCTTGTTTAGTACAAACAACTAATAGAAATACAATACTAATTCGATAAAATATAGTTTGTGTTATGTTTAAGTATTTACCAGCAAATCGTCCAATATTGGTATTTTACTTAAAATTGGGTTGGATTTCACTGGGTCGGATTATGCTTTAGCAACCATTATTGTCAAAACCACAGTTTTAGACACAATTGAAAACATTCATCGGCTAATTTAAATAATATTTTTCATTTAAAAAAACGGTAAACATTTTAAAACCGAGTACCGATAGTTTTTTCCTCACTTTTAACACTTTTATTAATTTCAAAATAGGTGTATAAAATATAACTACGTAGTTGTATGTTTTTTATGAATATTTTACGGTCAATCTTTATATATATGTCGTAGGCCATATAGAAAATTAGTCCATTTGCGAAAAGACTAGGCTCTTTGTAATAGGGTAGCCCGTTTGCGAAGTACTTATTATTTTTCCAAACGGCCTGCTGTTTTTTACGCTTATTGCATACGGACTAACAGCATTTAGGCCTTTTAAGAACTACAATCGTTATAACATGATAACAACCATTTTAAATTAAATTTAAATTTTGAAATAATATTACATTACAATATTAAATATGTATAATATTTACTTATTGTTACATGTGGTTTTTTCGGTTTAGTTTTAGTTTATTGCTCTTAAAATATTGACTAAAACTATAACTTTCAACTGTTTACCAAATTGGTACACGGTTTGGTATTATAAACATGTGGTTAAGCAGAAATGTTCTACAAGCAACAGATGCAGAATTTCTTGACATATAATACAATAACAACACTAAGAGAAACAGCGAAGAGACATTCACAATTTGGAGAGCAGGGTTATCAAAAATGTTTTTGCAAATCATCATGCAAAACAAATAGATGCGCTTGTCGGAAAAATAATGTACTGTGTAGTTCAAGATGCCACGAAAAAACCACATGTATAGTTTTTTTAACAAAGAGTAGTTATAATTAAGTTATGTACATAGCCTATTTGGCCAATATTTTAATGTTCAAAACTCCAAACAAGGATAAGTACAGGATTTTCCTTTTTTTCTTTTAACGGGAAATTATTATCATATATCTGCCCCTAAAAGTTTTAATCCAGGTTTGGTATAGGTACACACTAGAGTGATTAATAGTAAACAAATTATTTCAATTTAACTTAAAAATATGTTTACGATGCTTACACCAAACTAAATATATTAATTATGTAATTTGTACACAAATTGCATATCATTCAGGTTTTAATGTATGTAGTTTATTAATTAATATTTCAGCTTATTTTCCATTCTTTGATCAGTTAATAATTTTTAATGTTTGTAACGGGAAATATAGTAAAATAAAAATACAATACTTTTAAAGTTTAATTAATTTTTGTTACGCATATTATAATATAGGTACCTAATAATCCTATAAAATATGGATTTTTTTTTAAAATTATTTATTCCTCTTTATACAGAATAATGATTTTTCAGTTATAATTTATTTATTTTAGGAACAGCTTCGACCATAAAGTTGCACACAAAAACCCACACATGATTTGATTTTGATTTTCTTTCTATAGATTTCCCTTATGGAAACCTTAACGAGACATAATTGTTATATGGTTTGACGTATCGAACGTGTGACTATATACATATACAAGAATATGTTAGAGTGGAATAATTCGGTCCACGTGGAATATAATCGATAAGTTTTACAGTAGGTAGTCTAGCTGGGGGTCAAGTCAACTTCTAAGGAAACCTATATTCAGTATATTTGATTGATTTATGTCCAGGTGTAATATAATGCGTGGTTAATTGACTAGCATCATATACAAAATAGAAATAATATTATACTACAATACACTGCAATTGTTTATCGGTAATGCTCATATGCACAGAGACTAGAAACATTTATAAATTTTAAAATTTCCAGGAAAAAAATATATCCTTAAAAAATTAATGGACATGCAGCCAATGAACCGGAGATTAACTATTTTCGGGTCAGTAAGCAGAATGCCGAAGACGGGTGCGTTATATACCTATAGAAACGAGTAACGACAACGGTGCCATCGTCGCATTCTAATTAATTAATTTATAATTAATTATAATAACACGCAATCAATTTGAATAATAATAATTTTACAATACATAACCCATAACATTGCGATTCGCAATAGAGACTTGCGTATATTATTTATGTTGTATTGCAGGAGCCTTTCAGTAATTCAGTGTTTTAAAGTTGCATGTTGGAGGTTCATCGTTGCAGGGCTCCCGTGGAATTCGATATTTTAAATCTCTACACCGGATATGGCTTAGAAGAAGGAAAATACTGGCAACCAACATTTCTGGGCCTATTATATATTATGTGCGCGATGCCCGTGTACGAAAATCAATTTCGACCCGACGCCGACGGCCGTCTGTTTGCTATACACACGCTTCGGCTATATTATAATATTATAATATAATACGTCGTAATACATTGAATAACATACACTCCGTACACGTTTTGACGTTATGGTGTTTGAATTTTGACGGCCGCGGCGTGGCACGTACGAGCGCACCATGCGTATACACTAAACATATTATTATTATTAAATAGGTAAATGTAGTACCGAAATGTATATGATGTATATAATAATAATAATAATATGTGGGTGGGTGATACTAGTACTATGGGATGATATAACAAAATAATATATCATTATTATATTACTAGCTACTACATATACGGCGCAGGCCGGACGCAAAAACGGGAGCTCCGTGGACCGGAACTCCTGTGACACCGTACACGGGAGATCAGAGATTGTCGGGGTTCGGCGGCGGCGGTGGTGACCGGAAGTGTTCTTCCGCAACCGGTTGCCGGACGGACGGAACAGCCGTCATGTCAGTCCGTTTTCTGTCGCCACGTGTGAAAAGTTGCACACCATGGGATGCGGGACGAGCAATGTCGAGAACAGCCGCTGCCGTCTCCGCGCCGATAAGGAGCTGTACTTGCCGTCAACGGAACTGCATTTCAACGCCGGTCAGATGCAAAGGCTCAACGACAACTTCCTGCGTGGTTACGAAAACTCGGGTAAGTGAGGGCGCGAGTCAAACACGCCTGCGTGTAATAATATTATAGGTGCGATTGAATTTACCGAATGATTATTCCTTAAGGGAATTGTCCACCGAGATTGATGTGGCCGAACACATGAGCTGGCTGTCGATTTTTTTGTTGGGTATGTAGATATGCTGCAGAGCTCACATAGTGCACATATTATACGTAACTCTATGACATTTATACGTATCGTTTTAAGGTATAATATGACTAAATTAACACTATAAATAGTATAATATCTTTTATTGTTTCTATTATTTGTTATCGTTCCGTAATATAATCGTATACAATTTTTCGCCCCGCCATCAAGTGCCGGCGTCCGCCATACGCCGTACTCTGACATTTTTTATACGTGTTCATTAACATTTTTAAGTAAAAGCAAATGACAATATTACTATAGGTAATATTAAACAATTTACAATATTTATAGCAGTATATTTGTAGTTGATAATATATGGTTTCTGAAATTATCAGATATATTCAAATAATACACCGAAATCTGAATAAATAAAATACGTTCTTACAGCGATAGATCGAAACCAGTAGGACACTAAGAGTGTATGAGTGGAATGTGTTTACAAAGGAACAAGTGTCATTCGAGGTATGAAGTAAGCGATGCGTAGCTTATGCCTTATCGTACATTCAGACGTCTTTTGACGATGACGCAGCATCGTTAGAAATCAACGTTAAGTACCGAATTGTGTAGGATCGATTAAGACCGTTAAAAAAGAAAAATACTTCCTATATATTTGAATAAAATATCTTTAACGGAAAGGGATCATAACAAAAAACTTCTTGTATTTTATAATAATACCTACCTCAACAATGATAGATAGAAGAAGTAAACTCATCTATGAATATAGGTTAACTGCATTAATATACTATTAATAAACTGCTAACAAAACATTTTGTATTGTAACTTTTTTCCAATTTATATCCATAAATTGATAATAAAAAAAATACATTTAAAATAAAAATACATCCAAATCAACCATCAAATCATGGCCGCGTTTGAGGGGGGGGGCACTGGCTACAACTACCTGTGTTACCAACATTTTGTGGTCGGAAATTTGTTGACTTGTAATTTGTGAATTATTAAAACTTTTAAAATTGAAATTATTTTTATAACAGTATTATAATATAACATTATATAATATATACTATGCTGTTTGAAATTTAAACAACTAGGTAATGTATTTATTTATTTATTTTTGTGGTTCGGCACGGCTTAAAGACTGAAACCAATCACGCAACGTGATTGAGAGTAAGTAACGGCCGCTGCTAGTTGATCCTAGTATCCGGATGGGTGACCACCCGATCCATAGAAGCAAAAAACTTGACACACATATAAGTGTGGCCAACCATACCAACCATACCATCCCTATCAACCATACCAACGTTCCAACCCTACCAACCGTACCTAACCCCTACAATAGCTAATGGCCATAGTTTCCGGGCGGGCGAGACCGTTTTCGACCAAAAACGTACCCTTCCCTTTTCGGCCAATTCACTTTTCGACCAATACAAAAAGTTTTGTAATATGATATGTAAAATAAATGAAATAATTGGTATATAATTTTTGTAAAATAGAATACCTATATATTAACATTATTTCTATGTTATGTTAATATGTCATAATGCGTATAATATTTTATAAAAAATATAACATAATAATATACAATTTTTGTCATTAATTATTAAGTATATAATAACACATAATATAATATAGTTTTGAAAATTATATAATACAAAAAGTTTAATATAGGTATTATATTTTATGTTATAGGTACATATTGAACATTATTAAAACCTATATATATAATTGTTGTCATTAATTATTTGATTGGTGATCGTCGACTGTGATGGTTTCTACCATAATATATAGTAATATCAGTATAATATGTAGTATGTACCTTCAAGACTGATCGTTATACGTACTGTAGAGAGTCACTAACTTTTATAGCTAAGATAAAATATCAATAACTGATTAAATTCTCTCGTTACTTGTTTAATTTTTGTAAAACCGATGCTCGTGCAATAACTTTAGTGTCTGTGCGTGCATCATACTCGTTGCATCGGTTTTATAGTTTTCAGCGTTCAAAATTATTATATTTTATGTATTATATATATATCACTAACAGTGGCGTATTTTGGGTTTTTTTTGGGGGGTGTCCTGACTCCTGATCTCCACAATTATTTAATGACAAATATTAACATAGTTTCATCACTAATTCATACCTGATTATAATACATCTTAATACCTTATATAAGTGGCCATTTTTTTGTAAAAAAATTTTAGGATTGCTACTTACATTTTTAATTATAATACAATTATGACAGGAATAAAGTATAAACAATTTTACTGAATAAAATAAAACCAATCTAACACTTAAATTTACTGAGTATTTTTTCGTATGAGTTTAATTTATTTTGTATACTTATATAATATTATAGATATATTAAAAGAAAAAAAAAAACACTAAAATTTCAAAACTTTAACCTCACAGTATTAAAGGTAGACGTCTTTTTTTTACAGCCAATTCGTCCAATAATTGCTTACTTTCAATGCGATCCTTCCGATTGATTGATAACATGGCTAATCCATTTAGCCTTTTCTAAATAAAACAATTATTTATTTATTTAATTTTATAATTATGATTTAGACTTAGTAAAAAAAAAAATAAACTTACTTGGCCCATAGTATTACGTAAATAAGTCTTTATCTTTTTAAGTGATGAAAATGATCTTTCGTTCTGTGCAGTTGAAACTGGTAGTGTCACAAAAATTGTTAACAATTTAAATATATTTGGGTATATTTCTGGATTACATACAGACAAAGCTTCCATTGCGTTTCTATAGTTATAAGTTTCAGCAAAAAATAATATTGTTGTACATCGAGTGTACAACTGTTGAACTGTCAACTGACAACTGTACATAGTAGCGATAGTACACTTTATATCGTTGGTCTTTTGCTATCGTAGATAATAATAATTGTTGTATTTGAAGAAAGATAATAAGGTGATAGCCAATAATACGAAACGATAATACAATTCTAAGAATTACATAGTTCACAATATTCTGTTATTTCGCCACTGCCTGCACGGCTGCACCTAGAGAGCTATTTATATATATATACACGCAATATATATAATCAATGCTAATACCTATTGACTATTATCTGGTATAAGATGAAAATATAAAATATACATTATTCAATTTTCATTTTTCAAAGCAGTTTTAAAATATTTCGTTATTCGTATTTTGTGATACTTCAGTAATGAATATAACTAAGAAAAAAATTGGGGGGGGGGTTTAACCCCCAGGACACCTCCCCTAAATACGCCACTGATCACTAAAATACTATATACTTATATATTTATTTCAGCACAATATATCGGTTTTTATTAGAAAAATCATTAACTATATCAGTATCTGATTTTGTAATTCAGATATTAACAATGCATTTTTTAATTATACTAATTATTATATATTTTTATATATTTAGTCACATTATTGTATAAAATTGTGAGGGCCAGGGGGGGCTAAGACCTGTACTTTAAAATTCTGAGGGGGCTTAGTCCCCTCTAGCCCCCCCCCGATTTCCGCCTATGTGCACAGTGTGACATATTAACACAAAACTAATGTTAATAATATATAGTTTCTTATATTTAAAATTTTTTTATTTTTTATTTTACAACATTTTATGCAACTTATACTTTAAATAATTTTTAAAATTATAATTGCCATAATTTTACAAAAATTATATACCAATTATTTTATTTATTTTACATATCATATTACAAAACTTTTTGTTTTGGTCGAAAAGTGAATCGGCCGAAAAGGGAAGGGTACGTTTTTGGTCGAAAACGGCTATGCCCTGCCGGGCACTAGAGTTTAGACCAATAAAAAAATAATTTTACAACAATAAAATAAAGAAGCTTAGAACTATAAATGTTCTCTATATTTTGTTGTAATTTTATTAATTTTTTATATAACAAGGGTCATAGGTTTTTTTTTCAATATGTAGCGCCGTAGAGGAATATTTTATATTGTTTATTATAATAAATAAAATGACTGTGCATTTACATACAACATATAGGTATAAACATAATATTATAGTATGTACACTTAACACGTGAATTAATAATAAGTGTTTTAGATACCTATTTTATATTTAATTTATAATAATATAGTGGTTGTGTATGTGAAATATAATATTTAGTCGATCAATGAAATCCCGCTTTTTCATTTTGTATAAATGTGTAAAAAGTCCCATAAAGTCCTCGAAAACAGGGCTTCACGCTTTTTAAATAACAACAAAAAGAATCTTTAAAATCGATCAAGTGCAAGACGTAGTAGAAAAAAGTGTGAATTTTGAATACGTTTCGAACTTTCAAATTTCAGAGAGTCGTATAACTTACTAATGGTATCGCTTTAGATGTTTTATATATTTATTTTTATTTTGACGTTTGCACTAACAATGATAATCATTCTTTCCTTTGAAAAATTAATTCAAGCGCTAAATGAAAAACAGATCGTTATGTTAAAATGAAATCTATCTTGTATTATATACATTTTTTTAATGAAAATAGTGTTATATAGTGTAATGTGTATGTTGTAGGTATAAAATTAATGTATACTATGAAAGTATCACTTGTAATATAGAAACTAGAAAGTAGGTAATATTGAAATATTAATTTTAACCACCTAAATGCTTTGACTAGTTTTTCACTTAAAAATCTTAATTTCTTGTATTGAATAAATATATATATTTTTTTACTTTTTTAATTAATTATAATTATAATTTATTTTATTTTATGATTTAAAATACAATGTATTAACTTTTTTAGAAACTATAACTACTTAACTCTTCAATCTAAATTAAAATTGATTGATTTTTCATTTTATAAAAATGATTGTTTGAGATAGAGATGTTATTACTGAAACAATATTTATTTTTTCCTGTAATTGTAACTACATATAGTTATAACTTATAGATTTTTTTTTTTTTAAATGTATTTATCTTATTATAGAGGATAGAAAAATGCTCAAAAAAATTTCTATATTTTAAGATTAGTTAGTAATAGTTACCTACATAAGGTAGGTAACTAAGTTATAATAACTGCATAAAAACCGAACATAACGTTTTGCATAAGCATACAGAAAGACACCAACAAAATGATTTTGAATTTTTCATAGTAAAATTTTTTTTTTGTAATAGGTTGTAAGTTTTTTATTTTTGATTACGTTTGTGATAAAAATTTTCAAATTTGGGTTTTAAGGTTTTAAATTATTAATACAATATCTTGTTCATTTTGACAAATAATATCTTTGTATGAACTCTTAAAAATTAGTTTATGATTAATATTCTAAATTTTATGTAAATAATTATTTTTTAATATTTGTAACAAATAACATCCGTGCTCTTTATGATTGTACTACTCAAATATTGTTTTAGTAAATCAATAGCTAAATATTCAGTTTTTTTTATTTTTATAAGTAATATACAATCTGTACCAATAGAGGCACAAAAAGAATATGGTCTATATTATTTACAATGACATGAAACAGTTGGTGGAAGAAGCCACCCAGTAATGACACTCCCTATATTCAGTTAAAAAAAAAAAATTAACTGTGAATTAAATTGTTTGCTAAATACATTGTCTGTATACATTCTGTTTCAGAATTAAAATAAAATGTTTAATTTAAATTGTACTGCAATATTGTTTTTGGACATTTACCTTACCAATCTTACGATTTTAAATATTATATTGTTAGTATAATTTGTATTTGTTGCTTTTTAATTTCTGGATCCATTTTTTAAATTCTAGTAATGTATTTTTTTTGTTTATCATATTAAGCTGATTACATAATTATAAATATAAAGCATCTACTCTCAACTACACAAATAATTTGTGTATTAGTTATTTATTTCCATAATTTATTCTTTTTAATTTTTTGAATTAAAATATTATATATTTCAGTGAAAGATGTATTAAGACTAGTTAATATATATAAAAATGTTCAATTAGTAATGATTCATTAATGCATTGTTTTACAACAGAATAATATGGTCTTTATAGATTCAAAATTATTTATCATATTAATTTATAATTAATTATATAGATTATAGGTATTTTACTATTTTCTATTTGTATTAAACATAGTCTTATACTCATTAAAAATGATGTGTAGATGACATACCTACTAGTTCATCATCACTAAACGTCGAAGCCATAGTTAATCGTATTATGCAACGTTTGTTGTGTGGAATTGGGAAGTTGGACAAACGATTCGCCTGCAAATTTTTGATCACGGCAGAACCCATGTCAACCTCAATAAAGGTCTGGTCAATAATTAAGATAAATAGTTTAACTCTCTTCAAATAAAAAATTCTATTTATAAGAAAATTATAATGGTATAAATTTAAATATAATTAGGTATATACTGTAAGCAATATGTTAATTTTAAATGAATAATAATATATTTATTTTAATCAAATTAATATAATTTCAGTTATCCAAAAGCTTCAGTTATTATGTACGACTTGACGTATTGTCAGAACCGAAAATTTACGAAGACGATTTTGACTACCAAGTAAAATGTGTAGTGGAAGAAGACGGCGTACCCCAAGGCTTTGCTAAAATCCGACTAGTCACCAATGAACCCGAAAAATGGGCTGATTTAATTGACAATGATGGATATCTCAGACGGTAAAACAACATACTAATTCTAATATTATAATAATAGTATATATTTAATTGCATGGAATGAATGGTAAAAGTTGTTACTTAGCTATATTATAAGCTTACTAAGATAAAAAGTTTTTGAAGAAAGATAAACGAAAAACTGCAATTCTTCATTAATTTGTTTTGTTTTAACTATGTTGGTAGGTAGGTATATTTTTTGTTAATCCAAACCAATTCCCATTTATTTTATGACTGGAAAGCGGAAAAAAGCAATTAAATTTAAATATGATGCTCCAACTTTATAGTTCCACCCAAAAAGTACCACAAAAATAATTACCACACAGTAACACGTCATATCTGCTTACAATTCTGTCAAATATCATAAAAAAATATTATTCATTGAATTAATTTTATTTTTTTGTCTATACTTGTATTATTTTTGAAATATTTTACAAGTCATGGATATTCAGGAAAAATATACAATACATTTATAATACAATAAATAAATAAATACAATAATTATTCATATATATTTCTTACCTGTAAATTTCGACACAATAATAAATTATGCTATGATATCATTCAATAATTAGAAGTTAGAACTAAGATTAGTTTTATGTGGTAATTTTCTGGTATAAGTTATATAGGTAACCTATGTGCATTCATTACATTTTATATTTATTGATTGTCCATAAAAAGTTTTTATATACCTTACAACCCCCAAATAAATACAATATTTATTTAAAGTCACTAATGAATTGATAAATTATATCATATTTTTTTTCATACAATTTGTTACTCTGTAATGATATAATTTTTAAAAATATTTTCTGAATATATATTTATTTATTTGGGTTCTGAATTTCAACAACATTAGAATAATCGAGAATTATCGTTTATATATTTAAATTAGTTTTTGTTCAGTATCACTATAAATTGAGTATTTTATAATTTATGAAATAATGTTGTTAAAAGAAAATGTTTATGCTGTAACTTGGCGTAATCAAAATGTAATACACTAATTTATAATATATACTATATATATACATATATTTTATATATTGTATATTTGTATGCACATGTAGACATTTATAAATGTATAATAACATCAAAAAAACAATACCAATGTACTTATTTTATTGCACAATTATATAGTTGTCGAGCGACTAAGCGAGAAATACAATGAGCATGAATATAAAATGTTCTACATAATATGCTTAGCTAAATCGCTACGACAACTATAATAATAATATCGTTTGTTTGAGTATACATCCAATGGTGATATATATTTCACTCGAGTTGCTGTAAAAACAGAGAGCCAAAAAGGATAACAAAAGGGTAGGCTTTTGGGATTATTAAACGCAAATCTCCGCGATTGACTATCATTTGGGACTTATAACAACTACGTTTCACAAAATGCTACCGGTAATAATAATATGAATAATACTTATTGTTATATTGTTCAAAACGGGTTAGGCACGCGCAAAATGTTTTGTATTGTTCTTGTGTGTTTGAATTTTCACAAACATTCACTTATAATGTATCATGTCAAGCTTTTAATGATCGGTTTTGATAAACGCGCGTAACCTCAAATTGATGAAACGTGTCAATTCTTAACATATCCAGAGATTTGATAGTTTGATAACATACAGTACGGATAAACACCATTAATCAAAATTTGGATTTTTCGCCTGACACATATTTGATAACCATGTTTTGTTAAACATCATACATGAACAAACTCAATAAAAGAAAAAAGTTATTTTTATGCCCTTTCCCCTCTCCGAGACAAGGGTGATCAGGATAAAAGTTTTTTTTAGGCTCAACACACACACACGAATATACTTATTTGTAGTCGACAAATTTTACTAAAAAAAACCCATAATATTTTGTGAATTAATAAGATTGTCATTTCGATGACATCGATTATAGTTAGATTTATACCATCAGTATTTTTGAAGTTAAACTTCTTATGTGAGGGGTATTGAAAAAAAAGAGAGTGACGCTCGGGCGTCACGGACGCTCGCGCGTCACGAAAACGGTACGATGTTTTGTTTATAAAGTTTTTGATATTTTCCGTTTCAATATTTTGTAATCTTTTTGGAAACATATCATATGATATTATAAACAAACCAGTATAAACGTATAAACCATGATAAAATAACATGGTATGATGGCAACGAACTGAATATCGTCGGAGTTTGCGCATTTCATTGTATCCAGTTCTCCTCATAATGCACTATGTATATATATTGATCATGAAAACCAATGAAAAGCGGCGAACTGGATACAGCTCTGTATGATGGTCGGCGGGGTAAGGGGTATGCGTATCATAAAGTTGCCAGCATACCATGTTATTTTATCATGGTATAAACAATATTCCGTAGTCAAGTTGATAAAAGCGAAAACGCATATATAATAAATATTCCAGAGTGCGCGATAATATAATATAATATAATATAATATACTATTTTTAGGTGAGTCAAATTATGTATATTCAAAATATAACTCGATGAATTTCATCATATTATATGACTATACTATAAGTATTTAATAAATAATAATAATAATAATAATAATTAATATTTAGTTAATATTTGACACATTTACAATGACCAACGCACCTATATTTTTCAAATAGTATATAATACTCTGATGGTTCAATTGTATAATGATATGACATAATTTGATATTACTCAATATATATGTCTATGGTCTATCAAGTATATTTATTTATTTAATATCAAATGTAATAATTTATGAATAACAAATTGATATATATATATTATGTACCTACATAATATGACTAATGTATTTTATGGACATGAATTAATACTGATATTAGTAAATATTTTGGTCCATTGGTCTAAAAGTATAAATTAAGTACCTACACATAATATTATAAAGGTAGGTAGTAGGTATTACTTAATGTATTACGGTTTTTAGGTGAGAAAACAAAATATAACTTAATGTATTTAATTAAATTCTGGCAGGTAAATTGCATAATGGTATGACTAAACTATACTATACTAATTAAACTATTTAATAAATATTTAATTAATACTTGATTTCATCTACATATTTACCATTACCAATGTTCCAATATGTTTCCTTTATACTTGGATAGAAAATGGTACAAGTACAATTATTTATATTATATATAAGTAACCTACATGTATACTTTGTAGAAGGTACCTACTTGATATATCATTATTAATACCATAAATATATATATACCATTAATTAACATAAGATTATTATTATTATTATTATTACAAAACCTCATATCAGTTGTATGACTGAAAGAAGTTTCACTTCATCCCCGCGTACTTCTTACACGCTCGACTTTTTTTTTTTTTTCTATATTCATAAATACTTTAAGGACTATATAGACTAGATTATAAAATAATGTGTGACGGTATAATATAATATATTAATTTATTTTTTGTGAGTTTCGGCCTTCTAGAGTCTAGAAATCTAGATTGTCTAACCATCCAAACAAATTATCTACCCGCACTTCTCTCCATATTGCTTGTCTGGTTTTATTACTTTGACATATTTTTTTTTAACTGTGTTAACGGTGTTTCTAACTTAAGAGTGGTATATCTAAGAGTGTTTTTCGAATACAATTTTCCTGAATCACTCTTTTTATCAATGAGCCCTCTTTTCTCTAATCGTATCCGGCTGATGTTAGCTTTCTTTTCGTAATTTCTTCTTTTATGATAGGAAGTGGAAACATAGACCTTATACATACTAGTATATGGAGCTTATAAAGACAGCTGGGTTGGGTAGTGCTACTCTTGGCAATATGCTTTACGGAGATATATAATATATTGTCATATATTATTATATACAGTAAAGTTATACACAGTATATTGTATCGTCTAGTGCGCATGCGCCCTGTAATTCGGTAACACCCGAACAGCGAAGTCATGTCTGACCGCCGGAACTACATCCATACTCCGTCTACTAGTATATGGTCTATGAGTGGAAATAAGTTCTTCGGACTTCGGTACATCATTATTACGCCTTCTTCATTCCACTTTACCAGAGTAAGACACAAGGTCCATACATTCTTCTTCTTAGAACTTGTCGTTCGAATACTGAAATTTTTTTTTAGTCTTATTCAGAGGTCAAGAACCGGAATTCAAAATTACTTGTATCGGAATCATGTACAAATTAATGTTTAGTCTTTTTGATACGATTCTTGGACTAAGCATATACCCCAGATCTTAATAACAACTATTTTCCATTTGTATATCCTAGTATTACCCTCCATTCTCAAGTCACTATATTATTATTGATCCTATAGGTATTTGAAATGAGAAACTATTATGAGTTTATGTTCCTATTTTATTATTATACCCTAATCTTACATGAGAATGTAGAATTTGTTTTTATACATTTATAGTGATAAACTAAAATTGCGCTTCGTTGAATTGCTGGCCAAGTCCGCTTCCTGCAAGAGTGACTTCGTCGGTCGACCCGAAGACGTGGACGAAAGTTACTTGTGTGGGTGTCCTGGTAAGATCGTCGACGCGGGATTACTGCACGAGATCCTCAAGAGTCCCGCTGACGAACATGTGTTTTTTGGGATGGGTAAGTGTGAAACATAAATCTATACAGTCTTACCATGTAAATATAGTATATATGTAGTATATATTAGGTATATTATTATGGTTAATAGCTATAAATTAAAATATAATTAAACGCAGGCAGCACCGGTTCCAGTAAATTTCCCGACCCGAGAGATCTAAGGATCGCCGTCGTCGAAGACGCGCAGTGCGTCAAATTGCGCATATCTGGTCCTAAAACGTCCGGCGACATTGCCGTCGTTCTACTGCCCGCCATAGAGTTTTCCGGTTGGCCTAAGTACACAGACGTCCTGTCCAGAATACCTCTCACTCATCCAGACATTCTCATACATCAACAAGCCACGACTATGGTGAGTGTACATATTTTAGGAAAGTTCGTAACCACAAACTAGAGGTTTATTTTTTTGTAGCCTATATTTTAGATTCTAACGACTTGAAATCGTATAATATTGACAATGCAGGCTGTCCATCAAATTTCAAAATTTTATTTCTTGAATGTTATAGAACTAAATACCATGCACAAAAGCCCCCGTAATCATGTTCAATTATTATTATTATACCGAATAATCAAATATTTTGAACAAGTGTATACGTGGACTCCGTATATTTAAATTCATTTATATACACAAGGAATTATATTATATTATAATAATATATATAATATACAATATACTCCCATACCCAACTAAACTATACACTTGAATACTTAAAAGTAATTCATGGTAATTAGATTATTAAAATATTCACATAGATTGATTTATAAATTGGTTATCTGATATTTTTAAAATAAAGCACGAAAACAGCTTTTATTATTATTTTAAATAAAGACCCCCCTCCCTTCAAAAAAAGGTGCTCTGCTGTACAGTAGGTTAGAAGTAGGTCACTGTATAATAGATGGTATTAAATTTGAATTCAATGATATAATATAATCATTGTATGAGAAAAGCGATTCTGAGCGGAGACGGTATGTCAGTCTAGGTATAAGACATAATTATATACTTATCTATGGTATTAAAAAAATAATTGTACCTATAATAAATTTCAAATTAATCATATCACAATATCCATTAGGTACTTATAACGCGTTAAACATCAATAACAAACCCTGATACCATCAAAGATATATAATAGTAAACTTTAGAAATTTCAAGTAGGTACCCACGAATAATATTATATAATCACAACAAAATAACTAGGTTTTTTAATATGTAATTTCGTCCAAATTTGAACATAAAATGACAAGATGAATAATATTTTTCATCTGCGTTTGAAACAATATACTATTAAATTTTCAAGCTTTTTTAACCAACAAATAAAATTTAATTGATATTTTTAGAAAAAAAAACTAAAAAAAAATGGAAAATGAAAATGTCCCTAAACAGCTCAAAATAAGTCAAAATATTAAAAAAAAATGCATGGTTTATAGAAAATACTAATATAAATAGTCAATACAAATTTCATGTATCTACTGTCATTTTTTTAGAGTTGAACCAAAAACCAAAATCGATTTTCTCGAAAACAGATTTTTTGTAAAATTCCCGTTTTTCCATAATTTTTCTTTTGTTTTTCACGTAGCTTTTGAAAACTACTAGGAAATGTTGACTTTTGAGTTTTGACTCCCCAAAGTACCAACTAGATTCACTTTCCTATCAGAAAAGATACTGTCGAAGAAAATCCAAGCACTTTTACTGTCTTAAAAGGTGATGACAGACACAAAAATAAATAAAAAAACACACATTATTGTAAAATCAATACATTCATCATTCCACTCAGATTCTAAAACAAATAAATGAATAAATAAATAAAAATAGACTATGAATATAACAGTATTGTAGAAATTGTGTGGTCTTTTAATATCCAGGCAATTTTTTTTTCAAAAGCATACTTTAAAAACGTTAATTAAAAAATAAAAAGCAATATGATGAGGGCAAACACGAAGTGGGCGTCACCCGTGCTCTGTATAGAATCTATAGTATAGATTATATATATTACAATGTAATGTAATTATTTACATGTTATGTTTATAATATTGTTACCTTTTTTAAAATCCATTAATTGTTTTGAGTGTGTTACCATTTTTATGGACCTAAAATAAGGTTTGGTCCCACAAAACATGTTGAGGACCGCTGGTATAGATAATAATATACTAATTAGCGAAAACACAAAATGAATAATCTATTACGATATTATAATATACAATATACTAGCAAATTGTAAATTGTATATTATATTATATTATATTGATCTACACGACTATTAAAATTATATAATATATATACGCATGTATCGATTCGGCGTGTAATAGAATATTACATCGATCGTTTTGTATAATATATTACAGGGATACTACGCGGTTCCAGTGGCGCCACATCCAACGGTCCGGTGTTACGGTCGGCCGGCCACTTTTCAGATGAGATTCCCGGCGGCCGAGTGTCTGTACCAGACGCACTACTCGGAACGGAGCGTGGTGAGCAACATCTACCACTTCCTCCGGACCAAGGTGCCGAAGCTGCGGAAGGGCGAAAATGGTGTGTGCGTGGTAAGCGGTTACATGCTAAAGACGCTGCTGTGGTTCCGGCTGGAGGCGTGTGGCCGGGTCGAGGACTGGGACCACCGGTGCGTGGCCGTGCACGTGCTGTCGGTGCTCGACTCGCTGGTGGCCGCGCTCAAGGCCCAGCACCACCGGTCGTACTTCTACCCTTACGCCAACGTCGTGCTGAACGCGCCTCGGGCCTGCCGGACGATGGTGTCCGAAGATGATTACCAGAACGACGTGGAGATCGTGGAGGCATACATGTACGGACTGTTCGAGAAGTCTATGGGCAGCGACTCGATCGTCACCGGACAGGCGTTCCAGAACACGGACGCCGATTACTGGCAGAACTTGGAGTCGGTCATGCTGCACAAGTGGCACCGGGTGCTGGATACCATGGACCCGAAGCCCCGGAGGTTGGATTACTCGAGGAAACAAGTGGAGTATATCGGCGAAGTGTTCAAGGGGATGTTGGCCACCAGGCACTGCGTGAGCATGATTTGACTATCATTATATTAATATTTCGAACCGTTTAACTGCAGTTGATTCTTATTATTTACGGAGACTATAATATAATAAAAGGCTAATTGTTGTAGTAGGTACCTATACATTCTTATTTAGTTAAAATAAAACTGATGAATAGATAAAGTTAAAAAATGGGGTTTATGATTATATTAATAACATCATAACAATTATCTATGTTTATATAGAATACGTGCAACCCCTGGCTACGGCACTGATATTAACTGTTCATACGTCATGGCTGTTTAATTTCCTGTGATCGGACACGGTATTTTGATACGCCAGTGCGTGTAACAAGTCTAAATAAAATTCACCGATATCATTCGGCGGTGTGTCCGTAAAGTTAATGCGGTAACCGGTAATACAATTTATATTATAGGATTCGGCGGTACGGTTTTTGTGTCCCACATATTTATTAGTTAATTACCTATATATTGAATTTATCGCCCCTCCTAAAATGTATTCTATGCATATAATGGCCATGGCCATCACTGCAGTTACTGGTTTAGGTGAGCATCTGTCATAATTGATAATACATATATTATAAATATTTTATACCTACATTGCATACCGTGTCAGTTGTATAGGTGTGCGTTTTGCTTATCGGACTGAAGTATTATTACGGTAATGGAAATTGCACGCAATGTTACTATATAGTGGTGTCTATTAACTATGCATAACATTATGAGAACCACGCATGGGCGGAACCACTACCGTAAATCCTTAACCATGACCAAATTATGTAAATAGTCAATTTTAAATTTGACGAATATAATAATATTAATGACGGTGCGTTGTTGAAACACAGTAATACCCTAAATAAGTTGAGACGTCAGACGTATAACACTGAAACGTCAGCCGAATCAATTTGAAAAAAATACCGACACAAGCTCTCGACGCTGCACAATAATATTATTATAAACGCCACGAGAAACACCTCGAGGAACGATCTGGATTCAATTAAATTATACCAATTTATTGTTAACACTTCCCTTGGCAAACCTACTGAAATTATAACAACGGTATGCTTTTCTTGAGATAATACCTACCATACATAGGTATCTATAATTATACCAAACATCAACGTAAGATAATAATATATATTATATTATGGTCATGCGTGTTAATGTTTTACTTAAAATTTATACCCATCATCACATTTTACCAAACAAAATTCGGTTTGGGATATAGTATAGGTTTACAGAAAAAAAATTATGAACGAACGATAACATTTGCCAACGAATTACATTAAAATACAATAATAATATAGACTAGAAAATGAACTATAGAGTGATTTACAGTGTTTCGCTCGTAATATTTTGTAAAATTAAGTAAATTGTTTAGGTTTCGACGGGCGCGGAGGAATCGTCGTCCGCTTGGCACTTTCTGACAGAAGAAAAGATCCCACGGTGCAGCACCGGGTTGGTAGCTGGAGACGAGATCGGGCTGGACGCCGCGTACCTGGTTTCGGTTGTCGCGGAACAGGCCCTGGCCATTTACGGGGCTGCCCGGGACAAGAAGGACGACGACCGGAAGCGGCGGCCGTTGCGTTCAGCCGTCACAGCCGACAAAAAGAGCGGTGTCGGTGGTGGTGGTGGCCGCCGCGGTCGGTGTCTCGCGGGACGCCAGCGCCGCCGGACACAGTCCACCGGTGGTGGACCGGAAGCGGTGCGCCGGTTGCTATGTGATGTGTACGCGGACGCAACGGTGGCCGACATTTCCGGTGACTCAGACCTGGTGCGGTTCGTGCTCGGACGGCTCCAAACGGCGGCTGCGGCCGCCTCGGCCACAGACTTCCGACCCCTGCGGTGCAGGCGACGTCGAGTTGGACTGGGCCCGCCGCTGTCGCTGTTCCTGCGCCAGCTGTACGACGTGTCGCACAGCACTTGTTGGCACCTGGACGAGTGGCGGCGGAGGTGGGACCGGGACGAGCTACGTTCATTGGGTGCTTTCGCCAGACTGCTGTGCAGGGACGAAGTGCGGCCTACCGATGCGCTGTTGGACGCCATACAGAAAGGTATAAGTGCGGTTGATAAATTGTGTGGTAGGTATTTAATATTACTATGTTGGTAAGGATGTATATTTTTCTAAATTTCGGTGGTTCAGTATACAATTTGAAAACCCAGTAGATGTACTGTGTACACGAGTCGGTTAACTGGAAAAACTGGATTCACGTATAAGTAATTTTTGTAATACTTATAGGTATCAAATATGATAGCCACGGAAATTAATATATAGAAAAAAAACGTTTCAAGTCAAACCATCAATATCGAAAGTTATTATTGCTTATTACTAAACTGAGTCTCACAGTAATTCAAACTAGGTCAAGTAAATAATTTGCTGACTGTCCCACATACATCTAGAACTTCTGTGAAGTACTGTTAGATTATTAAATATAATATATAAAAAGCAGTCAAGTAGGTAACTGCTCTGTTTTACAGAACGAACGTGTCGAGTATACTTGTCATTGACTATAGGTAACTGTAATGGGTGTTTAATAAATTGGAATTAAAAAATAAATTGAACTTAAATTTTAGTATGCAATATTGGTCAGTGTTATAATTATTAATTATCTGTATGTACTTTTTCTCTTCGTAGGGTATTACCTATATATAATAAAAATAAAATAAATAAATCATGAAATATGATCAAAAACGATTTTAAGTTGAAAGAAGGTCTATTATGACGTAGTCATGGTTAAACATTCAACTATTTTAATATATAAATTTAAAAATCTTGTTATACTTTGTTGTTATTCTTGATTATTTCAAAAAGTACTAGACAATTACTACTTTCACACACCTTAAGTATAAAGTAGATCCAATTTTCTACCAGAAACCTCACTAAAAGTTGATTATCGGAGCATTTTTTCTACTAGAAAATTAATTTACAGTCACAATAAAAAAAAACTTCATCATTGTAGAACAAATACATTCATCATCGCTCATAATCTACTACATCGAATTATAAATAATAATATAATTAATATTATTGACATTTTTAAAACCTTTTATTTTAATATTTTATGTTTAGTAAATAATATCTAAAAATTAAATTATAAATATTATACATAATAATTATTAATTAATAACACATTTGAATTATTTGAAAATAAATACATATTGAAGAATCATAGTAAGTTTGATTAACACACAGGCCTATATAGTATTTATGGGGAGGCCAGCATAAGTAATAACCCCTTCTCACAGGTAGAAATAAGGGGGCTGTACATGTTTATGAAATTTTTTTTGTATTAAAATACTGTACAACGTAATTAAAATTTTGTTTAACAAGTTTTAAAACAGGCTTATACGTTTTTTGAAATTTTCCTCGAATTTTTACTGTCACTCTGTATATTGTATAACCATGTGCTACACAAGTTATCAGCACGTCAGCTTTGAGCATAAATATGTATATTTATAAAATCTTGAATGATTATTTTTATTTTGCATTTCATGATTTGTCGAGTTATAAAAACAGCACTTTAGTAAAACTGTATAGGTAGTATAAAATACTAAAATTGCCCTATAAATGCATTAATATGCAAATAATTTTATATTCAGAATCGTTAATTTATGAAACACGTTTTGGTATGAGTTATATAATTTTTTTCACCAAAACTATCAAAACAATACACAACTGTATACATATCTGTTCTAATTATTATATTACAATTTATATAAAATTCAAGGATTTACACTTTTATAATTTGTATTTGTTTAACCTGGACAGTGGACACAAACCTATAGAGTGGACCAAATCCCTGTTTGGTTGGTTTTGAATATATAACATCTTGGTATCCCAAAAAAGTGTTTGAACCAGAATTAAACTTCAATAATTATTAATTATTATATTAAAATGTTGACTTTAAAAATTTCTATATTAGAAAAACAATATTGTTGTTATGCGTTTCATAAGTGCCCCCCTCCCACCCGCTGTTGGAGTGACATAATTCAAAATACGGCCCTGCGAAGTGCTAACACAACTACTGATAGTTTAAATTGACTGACAAAAAAAAAATATTATTATTATACAATATTTATCTATAACTTGAACCAATGGCTTGTATATAATTGTAATCGACTATAGGTATACATACTATTGTCGTGGTCATAATATACTTATCAATTATTTACAGTATCTATAGTTGTTGAATTCAACGTTAGTTATCACATAAAACAAGTCTGTAAAACTCCATTGTATACAATTCTACAGGATGGTCTTGGGCCGACAAACTGCTGTTGGCCGCCGTCGAATTCCAGGACGGCGTGGACATAGTCTGCACGCCGGGACCGGGGGACGTGCAACGTTTCAGTATATCGCTTTCGGAACCTGAACAGGAAACATTCGCGTCCCGCAGCCTGGGCCGGGCCGCGGACAGACAACAACGGTATTCCGCTCGGGCGGACACGGTATCCAATAAATTCAAAACGGTTAGAGGTAGGTGAATTACGTTTTTCACATTTTAAATCACAATCCTTCCTACTCCCCCCCTCTCCTCACCGCCACGCCACACTATCACGATTAGCTCCAATGAGCAGCCAGGCATAGCGACTACCACCGGCAACCTTCCACCCGGAACAAAATAAAACAAACATCGCATCCTATATCATCGTCTCCTATACACAAACCCGTAAATATATAATCCAATCATATAGCATGTGCACGGTAATATCATCAGAATATCAGATGTATATTATATATAGCTATTTTATATATTAAACATCTCTACACGGTCCTTTTTTTTTTTTTGTCTCTCGTGTTTGCATAATATATGTATATATTATCTGGTCATGACAGGCATGTCGTTTTTGGACGCCGACAGCTCGCTAAACGAAAAGAAAAACGCTCCGAAAACGACCGTCGCCTCGTACGTCCGTCTTCAGTGGCAGAGTCCCATGACAGCGACGATTGCATCCAACAGATACAGGAGCAACCACCGGGTCCTGGGAAACATCGTCAACGCCTTGATAAACTTACAAAAGTACACAGTGAGTATTAGTGGTCGAATTTAACACAGCACTGCAGTTGGGTCTTGTCCACTTTCCAATTAATAACATTCGACTAAAGTACTAAACATTAGCTGAAATAATCAAAAATTTGTAATACAACAGTTATTTAATATTGTTTTATGTATTGCTTTTAGAATCCCCACCAAAGGTTTCGAACCACTCTGTATATAAATTTAATGCTCCTTGTTTATTTCTTTAGGGTAAAGTATTAAACAATTAAAATACTCTATTAAGGTTCGATAAATTGATATATGGCTTACTAGATAACTCATCTGTACAGTATGTAACATAGTATTAAAAAAACTACCATAAAATATAGACCTTGTGTATGCTTTATGTTAGTATATAGAATGTCACATAGATTCTGAAAACAAAACGTACATAATAAAAACGATAACTATATTAAAGCATAATGCGACTATATAGATTGATAAAATATTAATGGCGCAGTTTATAAAAATCGTTATGAAATACCACTCTGGCACGAAGGGGACGGGCTTGACATAAAAAGTATTAGCAATCTTACTTGACGAGTTTTTTTATGATATTTACAATAAAATAAATTATTTTAAGAACGAACAGTTTGTATAAATTTCAATAAATTTGATAATAATCATTAGGTACATATTAATAGCTATGAAGGTAAATGTGCTTTATAAATACAATTTTACATATTATTATAGGTATAGTGTTACTGGTGATAACTGCATTTATGGATTTTAATTACTGTTTTAAAACATATTTTTCGTAAAATACACAATGAATATATCGAAAAAAACCGAAACACTTGTTTTTAAATATTGAAATACGTTGAAAAATACAAACGTCAATTCATCATGCAAAATAACACAATTCAATGTCATCGTCATTAAGGTCGTAGACGTTATTGGTTTAAAATTTAAAATAACTTTTTGAAAACTAAAATTAAAACCATGGTAATTGCAATTACCGGGTAAATTAAAAAATATAATATTTTATCTAGGTACTATATTTTATGTGCTTCTATATATTTCAATTGCCTTCTATTATCATGGATAATTAAAATTAAAATATGTTGATATTAGCTTATAATTGAATTTTTACCACACATTCACATATTATACTTACGCAAATAGGAAAAAAGTTCTTGAATGACATTTTTTTTTATTGGTCTAAAGCCCGGCAACTATAGCCATTAGCATTTGTAGGGGGTTACGGTTGGTAAGGTTGGAACGGCTAGTATGGTTGGTACGGTTGGTTGGCAACACGAGTATGTGTTGCAAGGTTATTTCCACTATATGGACCCGAGTGGTAACCCATCCGGGAACTAGTAGCAGCGGCTGTTGCTTACTCTAAATCACGTGATTGATTTCAGCCACTGCGCCGCGCAGATGTATGTATTATATTATATTCAACTTCAATACTAATTATTCGAATACAAAAATACCTATATGTTTTTATTCACGTTAGTGACTATACTCGTATAATATGTTTTTCACATAACATTGTACAGTATCTACTTATTAGTATTATTAAAAATATTCATACGTATATATAATCTGAATGTGTTCGATTATTTCTTCATATAGTTTACATAATTATGAAATGAATATAACAATTATACACAATATAATGCTGGAGAATGTTTTCCACAAATTCTTAGGATTCAAACTGATATATAAAATGTATAGCATGTTTAATACAAAGTACTTAATACCTATGCATTATGTCGGTCATATCGATATAAGATTTTTCAGTTTCTCTTTGTTTGGGATTTACTTTGAACATTTGATGGTGATCAAGTAGATATGGCTAACTTATAAATTTGTATCATACGAAATAAATATATAAAATATAAAACAGAGTTTGTGGTGAAAAGAATTTCGAACCTTTACTTAAAAATATAAATTGTGCCCACGGAGGAATATACTAGTCACACAAAGTGAATGACCAACGAGTATTGTCCCGGTAAAAAATATTCTAATTTTCACAACAATCTACATTAAAACCTTTCAAAGGTACCTATATAAAAACTGAAATAAAACCGATGAATTGACGAAAAGCGTACCCAGACGTATTTTTTCAAATGGTTTTTTAATCACAATCACTACTATACAATTTAAACCCATTCTAAAAGAATATAAACATTTTAGTTTTATAAAAATGCAGAAAAATATTTAGAAAGATGAACATGAAGAAATATTAAGTCCGTATTTTAGTCTAAACTTTACAAAACAGATTGTTTTTAACGAACATTATTTTAGTATTACGGTGTTTTACAAAACTTTTTAGAGTTTTCCATTTGAATATTTGATATATTATAAATAAATTTACTCGTTTACTTATACAGAATGTCAATAGACGGAGTTTTATCAGAAGATAGAGCAAAAACTTGACTTTATTTAACTATGTATAGTTTGAAAGAACACAAATATCAAAGAAACAAAGTTTAAATTTTGAATAGTTAAACTGATTGAAGTACCTACGATATAACAATGCCTATTGGCTATTATAGGTTAGGTACCTATTGATATTAATATATAATGCCTACGAATGAATCGTTTTTAATTCAAATATTTATTTATTTGAGTTTAATCGGTGTTGTTTGTGACCTTGAAAGTACGCCAATACATATTATTAATGGTTGAATACATAAATATTGTTTCTGTAGAGTGTATACCTATATGTTGTGTATCGTTATTGAGAATATCACTGTAATGTATGTGGTAAATTTGAATTTAATGATAAATCATTGACAATTTGAAGGGAAAAATACTGATATAAATCTAATTACCTAATTGTATTATATTTGTATTATTATTTGTAATAATTTCTTAATTTGGTAAATGTTGAACTCCTTGAACTACTTTTTGCAAAAATATCGATCTACCTACCTACTGCAGAATGGAGTGAATAAATGCATGGTATAAATAGCTGAAATTGGTTTAAATATTGTCTAAATTAATTGTATATAGAAAAATGATAACATAAGCCAGAGGTTTTCAACCGGTGAGCCGCAAACATTCTTATGGTGTGCCTCGAGCTTTGGAACTGCCAGTTTTTTTTCTAGTACAGATCGAAAACTTGTTAGGACGAGTTTGAACTTTGAATTGTGATCAAAAAAAAAAAACGAATTGAGTCTCGTGTAAAAAATTATACTGTACCTACTAGTTGGGTCCCTTGTTATGAACAATGTTGTACTGTAGTTGGGTACCATGTTAAAAATCATACTGCACCGATTGGGTACCAGAAAACAAAAATCTTTTCCTTCCCATTTTAACAGGCCATTAGGAGTTAGGACTGTCAGAACATCTACCTATCTGTTATTACAGGTATGGTTAAAAATGTTTCCCGAATATAGTTAGGTTTGACTTAGGAAAGATGTGAATGGGCATTTTTAATGTGTTTACAATATGAATTATAGTGACATGACAGTATAATGTTATACGGTGTTTGGCCGGGAGGTGTTGCAGGAAATGTGTGCAGTATTGCCGGAAGACAAACAAGGGCCGGTGCTGGACGATATCCGAAAGATCAGCAAGGAGAGACGCCGGCAACGGGCACCGATGTTGGCGTCTGCCGCGGCTCGCCAAGGCCAGTCTGCACCGGCCGACGGATTGACCGGCGTCTATCGGTCGACGTCCGAACTGTCGTATGCCTGCGCGATGGCCCCGATCACAGACGAAGGCAACGGCCACGGCGCGGGCGTGCTGCGGAAGTCCGACGCGGGCACTCTGATGGCCACGGTGCGGGCGGCCAGACGTAGACAGTCCATGTCCGCCACTGTCGTCTACAACCCGGCATTCTACGACGCGCCAGAATCGCCACCCATGGCCACTTTGCCGGCGGCAATCAACCCGGCAGGCCAACCGTATCTACACATGACACCCGAAAACTGGTTCAGTCTGCATAGCCGGCAACGGCCGTATCCGGATCCGGACGTTCAATGATGGAGCAGTGACCGACCTATGGGTGATTTAGTGACCACAGTGACCAGGATCGTTATTAAACTCACTGAATAGTTCTCAATTCACTCGACAAGTTTTTTGCAAGGTTCCATTGAGTGACACGTACGTCAACATGAATTATCACATTGTTATAATTTCCAAACAATGGATAGTGGCAGTATTAGTAAACAATATCCCCTTTCCAATAAAAAAGACAAGGGCAATCCACGGTTAGGGACAGTTAGAAAATTATGACCAAAGAAATGTTCATACTTGGAACATACTGTTAGTTTATAATATTTAATTTATAATTAACTATTTTTTTGTTTTATAGCATAACGTACTTTATTAAGTTATTAACAGTATTATAAAATTTATCAACACTTTTATTATTTATAAAAAACTACTAAGTGTTTAATTGTAGTGAAACTTTGTATCAACTACAAAATTAGAATTATTTTAAAACAATAAAATTACGTAATATGAAAAAAATTCACTTGTATGTCTCGATCAGTGATAGGTGACCTAGGTACTCTATGAAAAATGTATTACCTATACCTACTCAATTAATATTATTTAGTACCCATACATAATATTATATCGTTTTATTTTTTCAAAAAGAATTGATTGTTGAATGTACATACATTTTTTTTTTTTTTTGGTTACATTTAAGTCATATTCTCAAATCATTGTCACTCATAATTTTGACGATCGTTATTTTTATTAATAAATATGATATATTAATAAAAAAAAATTTAAATTTATAAAATCCTTATATTTTACAACAGTTTATATGGTAACATAAAAAGTGTTCTATACCGGAAGACATTGGGCTGTAGGCAGGTTGCAGGTGTAAAAGCATAATTAACAATTTAATTAACTATGATTAAATATAGGTACACAAATACACAACTCTGTTAATATGTAACAATAAATTATATTTTAATTATCATTTAAATTATTTATGATAACAATTTATGTTTAATAATAAATTTATTATGCAGACGCATTATCTTTACTACCGTACAAAGCGTCAACGTGTACTCACGCCTTGGTAGGATTGTATTGGACATGAACTTTAGAAAAATCTAATGTTCATAATATTGGAGTAGAGATGATAAGACGACGGGCTTATATAAGAGTGGAGTTACAATTCGACGCGTTGGGTCATGAGTTCGAATCTCGCAACCGTATTTTTATCGTCAAATTTCTGATAAATCTCTATGACTGACCGTGTCAATAATAACTAGGACCCAAAACTTGATGACCTGAAAAACTTTAAAAAATAATAAATATTTTATGTCTTAAAATAATGAAAAATGATGTGTAATTTGTTTGGGGTCGCGTCTGCTGAAAATGTATCTTTTATTTGTTCTCGAAATGAATACCTACTTAAATTGTTTATTTAATTATAATATAGTATATAAATAATATTAGTCATAAAATAAGAAAAAAACACTGTACCTAAAATAAAATTGGTTTTTGTATGAAATATGAATTTAAAACAAACATTAAATATCGACCAACATATTATCTGATATCTAGTCTAACACCAAATTAGTTGCATGAATATTGATTTCATGCACTTAATTTTGCTCTCATAAGTATTAATAAATCATTCAAGAACCTTATTTTACTCGATAATTTTTTTAGGGATTTTGTGTAATTACTAATTTGTATTGAACGGTACCAATTTTTTATATTATGAGTAATTTAAAAGATAGTATATGAATATATAGGGTAACTAAATATGACCTTTAAAAGTTAATTAGAGCTTTAACAAAAAAGTTTTAAATAATTTAAATACCTGATTATACATTTTCTTTTAGAATAAATACCTTATTATATTAATCCCACCAAATTCTTATGGAAATATGAATTAAAATTAAACAATTTATCGGTAAATAGCCAAAACTGCAGTACATAATAATTAATTATAATAAATACCTACTTATACATTTTATTTTAGAGTAAATACATGTACATAATCCATACATTATTTTTATTATACTGTAATTTAAATATATATATATATGTATTATAAAAGTGTTATAATATTTTATATTTTTATGAATTATTATTATATAATATTTATATGATTTTAATTTTATTTCAATGTATATTTTTGTTTTATAGTCAATTATTATAAATTATAAAATATCTATTATTTACTTTATCGCCCCTTTTCTGTAAATTCAATAAATATGTTAGTTATTTTTAAAACCATTTTAATGACTAAAATAAACAACTATAATATTCATTTAAGTATTATTGCACACTGTAATGTTTTCTATAAATATTAAAAATAATAATAAAAAATAAAATAACTGTACTATTCTTTAATTATGAAGCAGAGTCATTAGACCCTCTTTCTATCATGTCATCCAGTCCTCTATTATACTTGCATAGTTGCATCATCCCCATATTGACTATTGTTTACATTTTATTATAGATTATACGTATATTCTTGTATGTTCTAAAATTATTTTTTAATAATATTATAATATTATAACGATAAGATTGAATTTTTTTCTAAAAACTTTTAATCCAAAAATACTTGAAAACTTAAGGGTCCCGGTGCCAGTTTTTCAAATTTTCCACAATTCTATAAAATTTGAAAATTAAATTTTATATTTTAGTTTTCACCTCAATTATAAGACCTTTCAACTAATCTACTACCCAATACCTATTTAGGGGGGGGGGGTTGATAAGGTGTATTATAATATCGAAAAAAATGAATTTAAGGGAATAACTTTCAAGCTTTGTAGAATTGTCGGATTTTGATGACTATTTTTTTATCTGAAAGAAGAAGATTTCCTACAGCCCGCATCGATATCTGATTTTGTGTTTTATTTCAAATAATTGTATTAAAAAATTTGTAAAAAAATGCTTTTTATCTTGTATTTTTTTAGGCATATCATAAAGTTTTAGAATAAAATATTTAAAAACAGAGACCTATGTAGGCTGTAGAATATTTCCCTCTAGCCTTTTAAAAAATAATTATGAAATTTTGTTGATTCTACAAGGCGGTATCGTTATTCCCGCAGAGTGTATTTTTGAAGAAAAATGGCGCACCGGGCGCCTTAAGTGAAATGTATAATACCATCAATGTTTTAAAATTTTAAGCAAGATGAGTATGACCTATCTTTGATTTAGTTAATATTTTGCTTTGCATCTAGATTTACATCCTAGAGTCTAGGCAGTCAAAAGGGTTAATTGGAAAGCCTATACATAAAGGCTCTCTAGGGTGATTTCATTACAAAATTAATTTAAATTATGATAACCTATTAAGTATTAGGTAAGAACCACCGAGTAATAATCTGGTTGGTATTCGTGGGATATGTCATTAGACACAATGCTATATATTGCTATCTATACTATCTATGCTTATCTAAATATTATATCTATTTTCATGTATCACATAAAAGCTGTGAAATAAATTACACCAACTCTTTAAACTGAGGTCAAAGTTCTAAAACTTGATGTAAATTGGCCCTGTGGTAATAGTAATTTATAATAACTTTTGTATATATAGAATTAATTATGATCATTTTTTGGTAACTACTCTTATTAATGAGGCAGGCAACTTCATGTTGGCTTGCAAGTTTTTATTTTACTGAATAGTCAAAATTGAAAATATATAATATAAGCTATATCATGATAATTTAATTTAACGATAAAAATATTTAACTGCTCATAACAATTATTTTTTGCATATTTCAGCATTTTGGCAATTAAAGGAAACAGCATGTTTTAGATTTTTTTTTAAAACATAAAACTTAATTTATTATTTATTGTTAATGTTATATAATAGTCAGGTTTTTTTTTTATAATTCTCTTACATAAATTCAAAGTATAAAAATTCTATTTATTATTACGATTTGTTAAAATTAAATACAGCAGGGAATTTTTAATAGTAGAAAAATATAAGGTTATGTCAGAAATTGATTTGGAGCAATAAAAAGTCATTTTTTTTCTTGTTGTTTATTTATTATAAAATTGGAAATAATTTGTCAGGTATTATAAAGACTTTCTAAACTTTTACCTATATAGAGAACTTTTATTGCTTAAAGCTAAATTTATTACCAATGTTAAATTTAAATTTAAGATTGATAAAATTAAAAATTATAGAGCTTGTTAAGATAAAGCATAGATTAAATCGATCAAAAACAATTTTTGATTTTCGATGATGCTGGATATTAGTTATTCGGTAATTAGATTAATATTACTTTCATCTCATTAAAAGGTTTAAATATTAATATATAGATGGGTACTGTAGGATATAGACATTATTATTTGTATATAATATAGGTATAATATATATTTTATATTTATATATAGTATTATAATTATATATAACTAACTATAGGTATTATAAAAGTTGTTGTTTCAACTCACGCAATAATTTGCAAAATAAATCTGAATAATAAATAAAATTATATAAAATGAAAAATGAGAAATGTTGAATTCAAATTATTATTCAGACCATGGTCCATGATCATTATAAATTAAGTAAGTTCATATTTTTTAAATCAAATCTAAATAAATTATTTTATAAAAAAACAATAAAAAAATTTAATTTAAACGTTATACCTACCTACCTACTTATTACTATAAAATAAAACGTTTTAAAAGCTTTCGGTGCACATTATTTCCTGATTAAATTGTTGTACCTATAAACTTTATACCGCTGATTTCAACAGCGGTATTATAATATTACCTAAGTACCTGAAATCGTTTATTACAACGACCATGTCATTTAATCTTTGACAATTGGAACTCGGAGCACCCCTCCGCTATGAGTTTAATTTATAACTCTTTTAATATTATAGTATACTTAATCTAATAAAAAATAATAACAGTACCGTACAGAACAGCTGACTACTCAACATTAAAGAAATTAATTCTAGCATAAATCTCACACATTTTTACAGCCAACGTATTAAATTGTTCAGCCGTCACTTAAGTTCGTTACAATACCATAATAGTAACAACGTTATTTT